CCCCAAAACCCCAAAACCCCAAAACCCCTTGGGCTAGGTAAATGATTGAAACTAAGTTGTTTAAGTCTTGCTCAAGATTTATGTTCATTAGGAGGTAAGCAACCACCATGATGAGAATATCTGTGACTGAGATAGTACTGATGATAACTCATCCTCTTCGTTGTACGTTGACTTTGCGATTCTCTTGTAGCTTGAGTAGTTGATCGGGTCTGTCTCAATGTCTGTTTCTTGTAAGTAGAACTCCCAGAACTCGTCGAAATCTTCGTTATTGAACAGTAGTTTGACTTGAGAATAGTGTTTGTGGTTGAAATATGCTAGGAATTTGAGTGTACAGCTTAGTTCAGGGAGCATTTCGAACTGTTCGATGTGTTGAAGTTTGGCCTAAATTTAACAAGAAAGCTTACTTCTTCTACACCGATAGTAACAAAGTTATCAAGTTGATAGTCTTTGATGACTTGATTAAACTCCTCTTTGACTTTATCAAACAGCATCGAAAGACTCTGTCTGATCTGTATGGCGTCATCCCTTCTGAAAGTCAGATTTGAGAACTCGCAAGTGCTGTTGAACAAGTCTCCTTCTGACACTAAGTTGTTCTCCAGAAGGATGCTTCTGATGAAGCTGTTGAAGGGAATAACAACTTTTTGGTAAATAAATGAAAGATGCTTGCAGATGGCATCATTTTGAAGAAGTTGAGAGTCTAGTTGGTAATCTTTGAGAATCTTTGTTTGGTATTCGAGTAAATAAAGCTCTTCATTATCAATATCTACTTTAATTTTTCTGTGAAGAATTCCCAAAATACCTGGAGACTTGGAAACTTTCTTATTCTTTCCTGGTTTGGAATCAAAGTATAGAAAGTCAACAAATCTTGGATATTTGTTTTGAATTTCTTTAAATACTTCCACCTTAATTTGATGGTCACTCTTCGCACTATCTACAGCAATTCAATGCATCTTTGCAAGTATCAGTCAATCTTTCTTCTTCAAATTGTCTCGATGTTTATCACCCGCTTTCAGATGCAAGAAAGCAACTTGTCCCAAAATGTCTTTTCTTAAGTAGTCAATGAATGCAAGGATACATTTCTCTCTGTTTATTGTTTTGTTCAGAGTGTATTTTGAAGCCACCGTCATAGCTTTCTCTTCTAATATTAACTCAAGCAACTCTGGGTTTTTTGTATCAGGTTCTTTTTCAATATAGTTGTACACGAACTCAGGTCTCCAGTTTATCCAATAAATGTCTCCATCTAAGTCACCTGATCCCATTTTGTGTTGATCTGGTCTATCTCCTTTGGCTGAGAACACAATTACGTTGACCATGTCATGAAGCATTGGCTCATCAACAGCAGTCAGGATTCTGAGGTCACCAGGATGGACTCATGGAGACCTTGTCACCAAGACTTTGCCAGAGACAAGTGTAGTGTCTTCGGCGTTTCTTTCACGTCAATATTTAGTGCTTTTGTTGATTTGGATGAAGACTTCGCCTTTATCAAGGCAATTATAAGGATCAATTACTCCAATGATATTACAACTGAATTCATCGAAGATTCTGAATTTATTTTCATACATCTCTAAGTCTGTTAAAGCAAATTGACTTGATGATAGGCTTGATGAATGGGTCTTTATAGTAATCATCTCCTTGGTTGTGCATGCCTTCTATCTTCCTCTGAATGATACAGAATGATTGAAACAGTTCTGCAGGATACCGACTGTCAATATCCAAATTCTTCAGATGATAGTAAGACAGCAACTCCGATATATAATTTTGTTGGATCTTAATGAATACATCTTCATCAATTCCATTGGACCACATCACAAGTATGATCTGCTTGTTCAGGTACCCATTCATATAAGTTGCAAGTCTAATTACTTCTAAAGTCAACTGTACTTGAGTTGGTCTTAATCCAAATTTGTTCATGCTTTTTCTTGTTAGTATCTTTGATTCATCTTCTAAATTATTGGTGGCCAGGAGTACTCCTTTGTACCCTCCCATCCTGATCTGTATGGCTGAGCACATGGAATGTTTGAAATATTTCTTAAGGATCTTTTCTTCAAAGAACTCTTTATCGATCTCTCCACATCCATCAGAGAAGGTGTATCGGTTGTTTTCAATATCTGGGACTTCAAGTATCTCTGATTCTACATTAAGAGTCTCTGTAGCTACGCTGCTGCTGAAAGCTTGACCTCTTCTAGCGATCCCTTTGGCTATCGACTTCTCTTTGCTAAAATCCCCTAAGGAATAGATAAATTTATCGTAGTCAAATTTTCCAGGAATTTCATTCATGAACCAACACGAGTGACTCTTGACTTGGGAGTTTGAGAAATGTAAAAACTTAAAACATTTATCTCCGACTGTAAAGCCATCATTCATAATTTTCTGTATATGGTCAAGTATGCCATCATTCTGAGCACCGTCCCAATAAATTCCTCTTTGACCATCTTCATTAAGGAACCTGACACGCATGAAGTCATCAATATGGTTATAATTATCACGAATAGCTCTATTAGCCATGGTAATAGACCCAAAATTCAGCTCTATCCTTGAAGGTGTTATTGTGGTTATTCTTACTTTAACTAGCCTCTTTTTATCAAGCCTGTCAAGATCTTCTAAGTAGCGGCTTTTCTGTATCCTTTTATAGTTCTCTTGTATCATTTCTAGCAGATTCTTAGAAATATTATTTCCTTTTAGATGGGAAAGAGATCTTTCTGATAGAGTACTCTAATTTTTGTGATACTTGGTCATCTTCTCCAAAGTTGCAAACTTCTTGCAGCCAATCAATTGTTTCTCAATAATGCTTGAAAGGGTATTCAAGAAAATGGATCCTTCTTGTGCTAAACAAGCACATAAAGGAATGATTTACTGTAAAAGGAAGCTCGGAAAGCTTCTTTTCCATGACTCCGATTGCTTGATGAACATTGGAAGCCATGATTTCTTCAATATCATATCTATTCCATTGAAAACTTGGTCCATTCTTTTTAAATTTGCTCTTAAATTCCATCTGCAGGAGTTCGAGCATAAGAAAATTATGTAACTTCTGTTTGCTACTCACTTCCTTTGTGGAGACTTTGATGAAATCAATAAAATCTTTATCTGGATGAAAGCCCTTAATTCTTATACAGAACTGTGATTGGATACTACTCATAAGCACACTGTCAGTCCAAACTTCACTTTTTATTTTGTGGGTTCTAATTAGGTTAACTAAATTCTTGCCCATTAAGATTTGTCCATAGGAATCTTTCTGGAAGACTTTTTAACTTCATAATCACATCGAAGAATTCATGGCCTGTATATACTAGACAAGAAATATTAGGGATGAGATTTTGCGAATGAATTGGTTTTCTTACCTCAAGTGATATCTATGATGGATTCAGGAAGGAACTCATAAAAAGTTTTGGAAATCTACAGAATAATCTTCATTATTTACGAGTTTATTTTCCTGATACATTTGTAACTTTGTTCTTTTCTTCAACTTTAAGGCTAATAAATCTGTTTGCCTTGTCGTTATCAACGGAATAATTTGCTATAAATTTTCCGTATGTGCTTTTCCCACTAGTTCTATTTACCCTTCAGCTCCTAAAGAACGGCACGAACAGCCTTGCTCTAACCTTCCTCCCTTGCTTCCCAATGGCTGTAAAATATCTTTCTAATCCGAACTCCACTTTCCTGACTCTGTCCAATAAACCTAAAATATGATTGATTGCATACAGATTTCCATCTTTTTGATTCAATGTGAGTGGGAACGAAAGGGGTTTTGGGGTTTTGGGGTTTTGGGGTTTTGGGG